CAGTTCATTGAAACTGCTATGTTTCTTGTGATAGTATTGTTGGAATTTTTCACTAACTTCAAACAACTGCGAAAACAAATGATGAAATTCACCTAGTGTATCACGTTTTCTTCGGATGGGATGCACGGAAAATCTTCTTGTCTTGGTGTTCATTTTTTTGTCTGCGTCTCAAAAGCAACAAGAACAACTTTCTTCTTCTACCACACGCCATAATTGCAAGACGGCGGCGTCTGACCGCCAAATTCCGATGTTAATATAATCGGCCGCACCGGACAGAAAACGGCGGGTCTGGTCTGACTGTCGGTGTCGGGCGTTAATATGGTTCTACCCTTATCATTATTAGAAAAATAAACTTGCCAGTTGCGCTGACGTAAAAGGCATACAAATTCTTGATCCGTCTACCACGGTACAGCTTGTCAAGGAAATTGTGGACAAGGAGCTCCACACTTATCATTCCATGTTCTCGAAGAGATTGGTACCTGGTGCTGGTCTTCGCACGGACCCGTGGAAACTGGCGTTATGCGTCACAGACCGACGTATAATGGAAAAAAATCAGCAAGGATACATTGAGGTGAACTTGCTCACAGAAGGAGATACAAAAATGGACCTGTTCTCACTGTAATTCCCTGTTAGTAAATTATGTTACACGACCTCATCGACACAGTTAATATCTGGGTGCTTCAACCATGTCTGTAGACACCAATGCGTGGTAAGTGGGATTCAGCATCTCAGTAGATAGCACGAGGATACGCAAAATAAGAAGCACAACTTCTCCGAACAAGAATCGAACTCACGTCTTCCTTGTAGAGCAGTGAGCAGTTTGACCGTATGTAAATTCCCCCACTTCCGACAAATAAGCAAACTAACAGACCATACGTTATCTAATCTTAACGTTATCCAAGCGTCTTCTCGAGGTCTAGTTCACACCTACATGATTTCTAACGTTTCTTCAACCTTAAAACAATTTCCAACTTTCAATGGGATGCGACAATCCTGACAGGGAACTCCGTACCTCGAGCGAAAAGAGTCAATAGTTACTGGCATTATCACATTTCAATGTGTTGGTTTTTACAAAATAAGTCAAGAAAAAACTCTAATACCAAAAACAAATAGGTGTTCGAATGTGTGATCCCCATTAATTATAATAAGGATTTAAAAAAACAAACCAACAAAATAATTAAAACTCTCCAAAAAAAGCCTTGGGTCTAATGAAAACGTCCACCCCCTTGGTTTGCTACTTAAATCCCAGAATCTTGAAACTTGAAAGTAAACCACTTTTTCACTTTCAACTTTTTGTAACACAAGCTCTTTTTCTTCTTCTAAAAATCCGTTTTATGATCCCTATAATCGTTGCCATGAGGACACCAATGGCCGGTCTCCTGTTGCTATGGATACAGAAACTCGGGCCGCGCTGGGCTGCCAATCCAATCACAGTCTACGTGTACGTAAATGGGCTTTGACCTTGACACAGATTTGAGCTGGCCATCAAGAAGGTTCCCGCCTGTGAGATAGAGACAACAATGAACAACTTGTAAGATTCTCTAGTTATTTCTCTATGTCTCTTGTTAAAGGGTTACACCCCTTCGATAAAAAGAAAAATCGGATAATTTTATATTGCGTTATATATATATATATATATATATATATATATATATATATATATATATATATATATATATATATATATATATATATATATATATATATATATATATATATATGGAGTTGCTGTCATCGTAAAGTTTGTTAATTTATCTCGTTATTTATTTTAAAAATACCCTTCTATCTTGAATAGAAGTCAAGATATTTGCGATTGCCTAACCAGCGGGAAAATGTCGATTTCTTTGATTTTTTTTTTTAAACCTGCGCCTGATTTCACTTCGATGCCACACACTCACATCTCTCCACCGGCTTGGCTCGGTCTGACCAGAGATCAGTGGTGCTGTCTTTTTTAAAATGCACTTAAAAGGCGTTTACTTCAAAACATCGTGTCAGAATTAGTCTGATCTTATGTTGTTGGTTTTTTCTGTACAGCCTACAGAGTCATGTAGAAATTGAATTGTATCTTTATGCTATCAACAGTACATATTGACTCATGGTCTTTATCAGTGCAGTACCCACATATCGACCTCAGGGATGGTTTTGGAATTTTAAAAGTCCCCCGAATTTTTATCCTATTTCTTACAGTTACACGATAAGAGAATATCAGCATGAATGTGAGAAAGTTTTTTTAAAGCATTATTTATCCCCTCTGTCAGATAATTTCCTTTCCTTTCTTCTTTCTTCTTACAGTCTCTCAATCTTTAAAACGACTAAAACTGGCGTCTGCGGTAAAGCAGTTTGGTGCTTCGCTCGCCGTCACTAGAAGAAGACCTGAATTAAATTCCCATGAGGGGCGTATTTTTAGCGAGTATCTCAGTATCACCAGACCTCTTTAACATGTACAGTGAAACAATCCTTAGAAACATAGAAAGATGTCCAGGTCTCAAAGTAAATGGAGAAAATATTAATAACATCAGGTATGCAGATGACACAGTTTTAATAGCAGGCTCCGAAAAGGACCTTCAATTGCTTCTAGATACTGTTGTAACAGAAAGTGAAAGCAAAGGATTATTGTTGAATGTAAAGAAAACAGATTGCATGGTAACATCCAAAAAAGCAGCAAACCCTAGTTGTAATCTCATTAGCAAAGGTGAAAAGATCAAACAAGTCCAACAGTTTAAATATCTAGGATATATGATAACATCTGACGCCAAATGTTCCACAGAAATAAGACGGGGAATTACTATGGCTAAGGCTAGTTTCAATAAAATGAGCCCAATCCTGAAAAATAGAAACATCTCAATGAGCACCAAAATGAAAGTCCTGAAATGCTATGTTTGGTCAACCCTTCTATATGGCTGTGAATGCTGGACAAACACTAAAGACAGTGAAAATAAGATAGAAGCAACAGAAATGCGGTTTCTTAGGAGACTGCTAAGAGTATCGTGGAAGGAAACGAAATCAAATGAGGTAGTGCTTGATGAAGCCCAAGTGGGACGCTCAATGTTAAATACAATCAGGAAACGACAAATGCAGTTTTTGGGACACCTGAATAGACATAAGGGTCTTGAACATCTAGCTCTCACTGGCAAAATTGAGGGCAAGCGAGACAGGGGTAGGCCCAGAACAACATACTTAGGGAACCTAAACAAATGGGTAACAGGGAAAGATCAGGGAAACGTAGCTTTTTTTAGAGCATCCGAGCAAAGGAATGAATGGAAAACCATGGTTGACGATGTCAGTCGCAGATATGGCACTGGATGATGATGATCTCGGTTTATCTGGCGGGACACTGCATCCTTCTCAGCCAAGGATGGCCTTAACAGGCAGGCTTAATTAATACTTGCCTCTTACATGATCTAAATTAAATCGATAGCTGCAGAAAAACGTCTTGCCATAGTTAACCTCCCCCACCCCCAGCTTATTGTAGAAACTTACTTGTGTCGAGGGGTGGACAGCGAGCAATATGGACCATAACACCAAGGCATGGACTGGCCTAAGTATGACAGCGTGTATGAAGGTATAATAGCGGGTCATTGCACGTCAACCTCAGTGCCAGGCATGAAATCTCCAGAGAGTGGCGTTAGTAGTCTAGTGGTTAGGTTACCAGACTCGTAATCGTGAGATTGCGGGTTCGGGGGTTCAAGTCTCAGCCTGGTCCGACGTTGTGTCCGTGGGAAAGGCATTTTACACGAATTTCCTATTCGGCTCTGCCGTTTCGGAGATGGACGTTAAACTCGGAGGTCTTGCCTTTCTTAAATAACTTAACAGTGTTGATGAAGGCGTTAAACGTATAGGCCTGCCATTTCCCCAATGTTTACCTCCTGAGAGGGGACTTGTCTGTGTTTAGTAGGGCCTTGGACTCTGATACAATCCTTTACCTTAGAATTACAAAGTTCTACTAGACATTTGCCATTTTGAGTTACCAAGACCTTGAGGACAGAAACCAATAGTGTTCTGTATGCTCTTTCAAGAACCTAAGATTATACAAAGTAGTTATCGAGATATTCAAAGAATTGTATTGCATATAAAAATAGCTTGACACGTTGTGAAACTCTAACTTTTATACATAAAATTTCTCAAAACTAGGTACGGAGCTGATAGAACTCTGTACTTCTAGTAGCAATATCTTAGATCTACCATAACCCACTCACTGTTATGTCTGGAGACTTGGAAGCTGTAGAAAGGGTCCTCAGGCATGGGAGTGAACTCAGCACACATGATGGCGTCTTCATGCTTTCCCGTGTACTGACTCGTTCTGTGGGCACACACACAGGCACGTGACCTAATTATATACACTTATGCATAACATTAATGATAAATGATATGGTATTGTGTATAAAATGTATCGGGCATAGGAGTGAATTCAGTCTGCTCACATGATGGCGTCTTCATGCTATCCCGTGTACTGGCTCGTCCTGTGGACACACACAGAGACCACCTTACCTAATTATGCACAGCTATGCAAAATAATAATGAATAAAAAAATATAATGATATAAAATGTATCGGACATGGGCGTCAACTCTGCACACATGATGGCGTCCTCGGCTTGTGCGTGTACTGACTCGTTCTGTGGACACACACACACACACACACACACACACACACACACACACACACACACACACACACACACACACACACACACACACACACACACACACACGCACACACTTATAAACATACACAACGCCTTGCAGGTTGTTTTTTTTCTCTACATTATTATACAATGTCCAAGTGGACCACATGTCTAAAATAACGGTATCCATCTTGAACCATGGGTGGTCGTCTTGGACAGGTTCAAGTTTAACATGATATTAATAACAAAGACAAAGAAAACAGTGGTATATAAAATATAGACCGTTTTTCTGCATTTATCACATTCATCAAACTATTATGAAAGAAAATAATACAAATTGAAGAGAAAAAAATATTCCCCCTCCCCCCTAAAAATGATAATGATGATGATAATAATAATAACAATGATACTAATAAAAATAATAATAATAATAATAATAATAATAATAATAATAATAATAATATAAAAATACTACTACTACTACTACTACTACTACTTCTACTACTACTACTACTACTACTACTACTACTACTACTACTACTACTACTACTACTACTACTACTACTACTACTACTACTACTAATGATAAACAAATAAAACTAGATACACTAAAGGAAAGGAAGTTACGCAAACTGCGAGACAACTCATCGAAAGACAACAGAGAAAAGACCGAAAAGAAACTGAACCCCAAATTCACAAACGTCAAACTTGATGTGTCCAAAATGAAGCCTCTGCGATGGGAGACTTGTTTCTTCTCTGGGATTTATTAAAGATTTGGCCGAAATTAAATACAGACGTTTTTCTTTCTTAAATCTGAAACATCGTTTGTTTTTTTATTTTTTACCGCAGTTTTAAAATCGTCGCTTAGGAATGTTGCTATGGTACTAGGAAGATAAGGGGGGGGGGGGGGGGGGATTCGTCAGAGGCAACGAATTTCTTTATTTATTTAAAAACTGAAAATTACCCCACGTAGCGTGCAATTAGCACTGGTTTCATTTTGTCTTTTTTCTAATTTATTATTTTGCATCTTTTTGCTGTTCTCAATTAATTATTGTTTGTTTTTCTTTGAAACGCCTTTATTAAACTTGGAGCTAAGAGGAGCAAATTGGAGTTTTAATCTACTCCTGTTTTTACAATAAATGAAGCTTCTGTTATTGTTTAATACAAACAAGAAGAAGCATAAAACAAAAGCTAAATCGAAATTTGGAAACAGCAGTGCAGAAAGAATAAACAAAAACTGCAAGGGCGAAACAAAAAACCGAAACAACAACAAACAAACAAACAAACAACACGACAAAAACCACAGAAAAAAATCCCCAAAAGCTTTATCTAGGCAAATAAAGCTCTCATAATCACAGCACATAAATCCTTGATTAGTTCACACATTCTGCCTCAGGTCATTCGTTCTTGCTGAATTCATCACGCCACATCGCAGATTTGACTAAAGTTGATCTAAATCCCCTTAATTTCCACGCACCGAAATCTAGCGACATTATGGAACCACACGGAACGCTAAGCCCCTAATGAATGGCAGTAATGACCCCAGCAGTCATGTAGAATCACAGGTACTAACGCAATCTCAAAGATAGATCTAAATACACCATGACATACACTGTGGGTTAACGTCTTTACTACTGAAAAGACGTACGTGTACGTATCGGCACGATTAACAAGCTGACCCTTTCATGGATCCTGGAGAGGAGGGAGGAGCAGCTATATGGTATAGTGCCGCCTGCAATGATGCCTATTCTCTAACCAAGTAAGTAAGTAAGTACGTACCGGTACTCGCTCGTAATCTCCAAAACCGACCCACTTACAACTCACACTGCTTCAACTGGTTTACACAGGACATTGTAGTTGGTATTGATACAGCTTGTGAAGTTGATTAATCTGAACTAAGAGGTGTAAATAATACATTGTGTTTAAATCTCCTTTGAACTAACATTTTATATTGTCTGTTCAGACGTAGATTGAAATGTCTCAGCAATGAAAAGGTTCACAATGTTTGTTTTAGTAAGAGTTTTACTGCACTTGCAACAACACAATTAGGTCATATAAGTGTCGAAGACTGGAGGTGTTACTAGAGAATAACATACACAAAAGAGAAAGAGGGGAGATGATGAAGATGTATGTTTTGATAGGAAAGCAGGAGCAAACCACACCAGAGCTCACGCCAACGACCAAAGGGTTAACTTGAGTCTCAGTTTGATATCCTTAAGGTACAAGGTTTGCATTAGTACGATCTTGAGTAGCCTGAGGGCGAATAAGAAAGCGACGTGCAGGCTGGATATTGAAATAACCGTAGCTTCTTAGTCCATAATTAGTTATGAGGCCAGACCTGCTAATCCTAAGATCGTTACAATAACAACAACAGCAACAGCAAAGAAAACAACAACAGCAAAAGCAACGACAACCGCCACCACCACCATCAACCTGAAAACAAAAACACCTCCGTCCCTCTTGTCAAACAAGAACTTGTTGTTCCTTCCACTCATGAGATGTAGCGTGGTATCCCGTGACCAGAGAAGCAACAACAACAACAACAACAACAACAACAACAACAACAACAACAACAACAACAACTACGAAAACGACAACAACAATGACAACGACAACACAACAACAACAACAACATGACTATTACCACTATCACCATTACCACCATCAACAGCAATAACACTGCCACCACCACCACCACCAACAACAACAACAACCACCAATAAGAACAACCACCACCAACCTGAAGACAAAAACCGCTCCGTCCCTCTTGTTTGTTTCACTCATCATAATGTGTGGCGTGGCGTTCCGAGACTAGATCAATATCCTTCCCCCCTTTTTCTTTCTCTTCCTCCTCCTCCTCCTCCTCCTCCTCCTCCT